TGGGTCAAGGTGGGCAGATGCTCAGGTTCAGAAGCGGTAGAGTATGGGCTAGCTGAAAAATCTACTTTAAAGCCTCCACTTTTGAGACCTCTATTCTCTCTTTATATTTACAAGCATTCTAAAAAATAAAAAAGAAACAGCACCTCAGACTTTCCTCATGGTCTTCACTGAGGACTGAAGAAAAAGCATCAGCAATGCCCTGGAGCTGAAGAATTCAGGTCAGAGCTTAAAAATGACTTTGCTGACTGGGCTGACTGTTGGGTCCTAGAAAATACCAAGAGAAATTGGGAGAGAACTTTCCTGAAAAGACTCAGAAAAAATGCACAGAATCCCAGGCTCAACACATAGATTTCAATTTCATCTTCCTCTTTTTAACTATGTTTTCTTTTATTTATTTTTTGTTTTTATTGATAACCATTGCTTCATACTCTGAGGTTGGACTGGTTTTATGGAAATGAGAGAAATAAGGTAATGCAGTCACCTGCCTAATGTCAGGAGGTAATTTAGAGGTGTAGTAGGAAATACTCAGAAATTTTAAAGGATGGTCCCATCTTCCACCATCTCTTCAGGGGACACGGCCAGGGAGAATTGCCAGATAAACAAAGAGAACAAAGAAATCAGCCACTCGGTTTTGCCTTCTGAAAAAACAAACAAACAAACAAACAAAAAACAGCTTGTGAAACTTAAAGGTGAGACAAGAAACTTCTGATTTGCCAGAGCTGGGTATGTTATAACTCAAAAGGCCAAAGGCTGGAAGCGGCAGAGAAGCAGAGCACGGGAAGACGGGAAGACAGCGAGTTAGACCTGCCTCATACATCCTCCATGCTGACATCCAGCGTTGGCCAAAGTAGGGCAACAAGAAGTAAAGCTCTGAGGAGAAGATCATGCAGGTGAGGGGCAGATTCTGCTCTCCACAATTCTCCCCATCTGTTTCTCCCACAATTCTCTCCACAATTCTCCCCAGTTCCAGACCCTAGGCTGGAAAGAGGTGATGCTGAAACCCAAGACAGACGGAGAGCCCCAGCAGTAAAAAGGACCTGTGTTTGCCTACCAGTTTGAATGCCAATTTGAGGCAAGCCTCATAAAACTGTGCTCTGCATTGAGTAGAAATGGTTGCCCGGAACCTCTAAAAGGAACTAGTGCATATCTTGGTCTAACAACTGATCCATGAAGAGAAGGCTTGAGATAGCAACCTCCCCACAGTCTTTCTTGATGCCAGAAAACTACAGAAGGGTCTCCTCAAGTTTTCTGTGTCCCTGAACAGGGCCAAGTAGAAACTGAGAGGACTAGTAAACCCAGAAGAGTCTAACAGAGAAGAAAGACAATTTGCCGTGGCTTAAGTGGACAAGGTGAGTAGGTCTCTCGGTAGACACAGTGAGAATGAACACCACTCGCCTAACTGAAGATGTTAAGAACTCCAGTTAGGTGGATGGATCCCAAAGAAAGAGAAAATCCTAGAAAATGCCTTCCACTAATACGGCAGCTCATAGGCTCTTAGCGCACCTCCACTTTCCAGAATTCAGGTGCAGCCCTGCATTAACAGAATTGACCTGGAAGTGACTTTATAAATGTTTCACCTCAGATGAAATGAGGTTCAAAACAGAGGTAAGGTTGAAAATAAAATATCAATACAACTGTGTGTGCGTGTGTGTGTGTGTGTGTGTATGTTGCCACAGTTTTTACAGGCCTGTATTTATAAGACTGTAAACTCTCATTTCTGCAATAGGCACAGAATAAGACCGCTCCTCCCATGGTCCAGAGCCATAATGTGTCTCAGAGGCAGGGATGCCTGTGGACAGCATGCCCACTGCCTGCAGCTTCTGGAAGGGGCTGCTGACAGGTAAGGGGAGGTGGATTGCATGCTCAGCTCTTCTTCCTCCTCCCTCTCTCCACACCCACAGCTAAGTTGCCAACTGAAAGCTGCCTTTTATTTCACCTCTGCTTCCCCCCTTATACCCATGCCCTCCTCTTCATTTGAACTGCCACCACCTCAGGTCAGCCCTTGTTGCCTGTCACAGATTATTGTGAAAGCTTCACGGAAAGAGGTGTCAAATCAAAGGAAAAGGTCAGCCTTACTTTGCTCAATTTTGTCCAGGTAAAGCATTATTAACTTGAGTGTTTCATTCCACAGAATGACTCTGGGGATTTATCAATGCCCTCACTGCCCCAAATGTGTTCTTATCCTGTAAGAAAACACTGATCAAATCCCTATTAGATAGTTTGGCCAGGCACAGTGGCTCATGCCTGTAATCCCAGCACTTTGGGAGACCGAGGCGGGAGGACTGCTTGAGGCCAGGAGTTCGAGACCAGCCTGGGAAACATGGCAAAAACCCATCCCTACTAAAAATATAAAAATTAGCTGGATGTGGCGGCATGTGCCTGTACTCCCAGCTATTAGAAAGGCTGAGGCAGGAGAATCGCTTGAACCCAGGAGGTGGAGGTTGCAGTGAGCCAAGACAGCAACCCTGAACTCCAGCACAGGTGACAGAGCAAAAGTTTGTCTCAAAAAAAAAAATCTGTATTAGACATTTAAATGTTGTACCCTAAAAGGTGATTATTTTCTCCTGCATTAGGATACTGTTGGTACTGTCATAATTACTACCACCAACAGGTAGCTTCTGCTTCCCCTCATGCTTACATGAAAATTCTACTGTAAGTCAGATCCTAGAAGTGTGGTCTTTAACAATGAAGGACAGTCTTAGAACCTCATGGAAAGAACTGTACCAAGTTTGAACTATTGACACTTCAGGTAAGACTCACTGATGCAGACTTCCAAGGTGGTATTTCTTAGATAATTTCCAAATAGTGTTCATAAAAGCAAACTGTTGACCCAAGAACTGGTAGAGGAAAAATAATTATAATGGACTGAAGGAACTGATGAGGAAATAGAATTTTAGTTGTTTTGTAATATTGTTGGTATTATTTTTAATGTTCTATTTTCTGATATGATGGAGTTCTGTTTTTCCCTGATCTCTCCCCTCACCATTAACTTAGTAGTCTGTGTTTTTATAACGTTGTGAAATGAAACATTTTTAAATGGTAATCTTGTTCTCACTGACCTTTCAGAATTCAGGAACAACACTTTTTCTGAGTCTCTTTACTTTTAATGGCAATGGAGTTACTTGTATAGATTCAGTAAGAATCTGTTCTCATTTTTACCTGTAAATAATTGAACAAATAGATGGCACAGTCAAAGCCATACCTGGAGTGTCAGTCTCATCTGCTTACATACGGAGTCCATCATTAAGAAACAAGAGTTGATCTTTATTTGGAAAATCATGATGCTCTCCCAGAAATATGGATTGTTACCTTATAATGGCAGACTTGGAGTCCATCTCTTTGAAAGAGAGATGGATTCACCCCCATTTATAGATGCTACAGGCAAAACAGTGACAATGACTTTTTTTTTTTTGAGATGGAGTCTTTCTCTGTCACCCAGGCTGGAGTACAGTGGTGCAGTCTCAGCTCACTGCAACCTCCACCTCCTGAGGTCAAGCGATTCTCCTGCCTCAGCCTCCTGAGTAGCTGGGATTACAGGCACCTGACACCATGCCCAGCTAATTTTTGTATTTTTGCTAGACACGGGGTTTCGCCATGTTTGCCAGGTTAGTCTCAAACTTTTGACCTCCAGTTATCCACCTGCCTCGGTCTCCCAAAGTGCTGGGATTACAGGCATGAGCCACGATGCCTGGCTGTCAATGACTCTCTTAGTTTAGTTTCCTAGCCTCAGAATAAAAGAGCAAAAATAAAAACAGTAAAAAATATACCTGGAATAAGAGAGGCTTCTGAAATTTCTAAGGATTTTAAAGAAATCTCTAGAAAGAAGTTAATTTTCTGGGCTTTGTAGTTGCTTAACACCACATGGCTTTAGATTTTCTGACCAGACAACAAAGAGGGTTACCTATATTAGTTAACTAACTGTTCTTACTGCATATATATCTAAATGAATCAGGCCTAAATGCAATGAGATTAGCTTTCTGGAAATCAAGGATAATCTTTGGAGATTATTTGTAATCACAGTGTTTCATGGTTTACAATGTCCTTCCACATCCTGACTTAAACCTCCCAAAGAGCTTTTAAACAAAATAGTCCTGAAGTAACCATGATCACACTTAGATTTGAAATCTTCATCTATTTGCCCTGGAAAAGACAACATGGCTTTTAAAGAGGCAAATAAACACTCATACCCCATTCATTCTGCTCCATTACAAATCATTCCTAGATTTAGAAAACATAAGCATATGCATGAGTGTGCATGCGTGCGCACGTGCGCGCGCACACACACACACACACACAGAGAGAGAGAGAGAGAGAGAAGCCAACTACAGCTGAGAAAGCCCAATTCCACAGAAAGCAAATTCAAACAACTATCTTGGGTCTCACGAAGGAAGGCTCAAAAAGAGGCTGAGGCCAGTGAGACAACTTTACGTTCTCCATCATGAAAACATCCAAATGAGCCCAACCTCCCCTTCCCCTCTCAGTCTTGGAAGAGAAACAGCTACCCCTAGGGAGGTATTCTCTTTCATCTGTCCCCTGGCTCTGTGCTGCCTTACAAGTAGAATATATTAATAAAGAAATACTTTGGGAGAGAACTCTCTCCACTGTTGCAACATCTCTGCAGTCTCTGTTTTGATATTTGGCCTTGAGAAGTTCAAACGATTTGAAATATTAGAGTTCAAGAAAGACCAAGATGTACCCTAGGGCAGGTCCTGATCTTAGATGCTGAAAAACATGCTACTCCCACACCATAGCCAATATGACCTCTAAAAGAACCTAGTGGATATCTTGGTCAACAGGATTATTCTCAAAGGCTCTTCTTCTTCCTTTTAATGGTAGTTGAAGGCAATTCAGTTTAGGGCCCCTAAATAAGCTGGAGTACTTACTTGTCATGTCTGCTCATTTCTCCAGTTTGTTCCTGGTGCCTGGGACAGAGCTCGGCCACATCAACCCTCCGTGACCCCTCATCCCCGCTCAGGGATTCTCTGGAGACCCCCACTCACCATTCTTTTCCGCCTTGTGCTTTGGTGGCTCAGGCTCCGGGAGACAGGGACAGGGTCCATCACAGAGGGTGGCGAGGCTTTTGCCAGTAGAACAAGCATGGAACTCCAATTTGCACTGCAAAAGAGAGACGGAACAGGCCTTAAGAACGCAGCAACAACAGACTCCCTACTTTGCCTGCTAAGAAACAGCCAGTGCCCTTTGCATCACAAAAGCAAAGACAAAGCAGGGAGAGGTCCACCTCAGTTAGAGGTCTGAATTACAGAATACTGAATAAGAAATGGCCTTTTATATTTTTCCAAATGCAGAGGGTAAGTAACTTCTAAAAACACCGTGGAAGCCCTGGAAGACTTCCTTTAATGATGGCAAACTCTACTGTCACCATTTCTAAAATAAAATCATTCATATGAAACTTAACATCTGTGGAGTCCTATCTGGTCTAGGAAGCCCCTTCCATTCACTTTGAGGCATCTTCTCCACACTCCTCCCCTGGGGAGGCAGCACCGCTGGAATGCCACTCCTGGTCCCTCTCAGCCTGCTCACATGCTCTTCCTGAGAAGGAAGAGCAACAATCCCTTTAGTAAGTCTGGATGGTAATCTGAGGCTCAGCCCTTTCCCCTTGGGAGCAACAAGGAGTGAATGCTTTTGCTTCCATTGTCTAAAACCTGTTTACATGGGTCTTCCCCATCGGAGGATGCCTATGGTCTAACTGCTTGTGACTCCATGGAAATGTTTACCTAATTCTAAGATTCAATATTGGAAGCTCATAATCCACATCCTCTTGTCAACCCTTTATCAGTAGCAATGGTAATATTTTAGTCATTTTTCTTTTTGAGACAGAGTTTCATTCTTGTTGCCCAGGCTGGAGTGCAATGGTGTCATCTCAGCTCACTGCAACCTCCACCTCCCGGGTTGAAGTGATTCTCCATCCTCAACCTCCCGATTAGCTGGGATTACAGGCATGCACCACCACCCCCAGTTAATTTTGTATTTTTAGTAGAGATGGGGTTTCTCCGTGTTGGTCAGGCTGATCTTGAAATCCTGACCTCAGGTGATCCACCCACCTCAGCCTCCCAAAGTGCTGGGATTACAGGCGTGAGCCACCACGCCCGGCTATTTCAGTCATTTTCTGTCAGCTTTTACTCAGCGAATTCTCAGAACACAGGCAGGAGAGAGGAATGTTATTAACAGGTACAAAAGACCACAACAATTATCAGCATTTTTATTATCCCCACATATGGAAGAAGAAATTGAGACTCAGGCTAAATAACCTGCAAAAGCTCACAAAGCTCAGGGCTAAGCACTTAATTCATTCCAGAAAACTGTGTCTCTCATGTAGATAGTGCTTCGGAATATAGACATCTCATACTGAACTGTGTGTGTCTAATTATGCGACTTTGCTATTGGCCTGGATCTACGTTGTCTGAGAGTTTACTCCTTTTTTGTCTGTAAATTTCTCAAGATCAAGGCCGGTGTGTAATCGGTCCTCTGCAAAGACCCACCGGCCCAGGACCACATGCGTATCTGGTGGAGGTTCAAAGGAAGAAGAGATAGGTGAAATTTAACGAGCACCCACTGTGCATGCAGCTCTTATCAGGTGCCATGGGGAATCTTTTAAATGAAAGAAAAGCGGAGATACAGTCCTTGCCCTTGGAAAACACAAATGCATACCTTTGAAAAAAGTCCACTAGCATTTGCAAAGCCACACACGAGTGCAGATAAATACTGGCTTATTGTGAGAGGACAAGCTATTCAGTCCCTATACTGATTAAAAACAGAGGGAAAGAGTGCTTTAAACCTGGTTCTGAATGTACTGGAGTCACTCCTGTGTCACTCCAACGATCACCCACACAGTTGCTGGCTGTCCTTACAGGGAGAGAGCAACAGAGCAAACCTACAGAGTGCTGGCTCCCTCCCGGTACAAAACTCCCGCTTGTGCATGTTTGTGAAGTGCCTACTACGTGCCCAGCATAGCAGTAGTCATTGTGGGAGCTATACAGAAAGAAGCCACGGCCCACGCCTCAAACATCAACTAAGCTGATGAAGCAAAAAAGAGTGTGTCCTTGTAAAGCCATGTGGATGTGACTATGAGGTGAGGCAGGAAATAAGTCTAGGTAGGGATGGAGCACCAAGGAGGCCCACAGGTATGGGATGTGCCTAGAGAGGGCACCTGGACCGAAGGTGAGCCGAGTGGAACGCCGGAAGGCAGCAGGCAGGTCACTAGCACAACGAGTTTCCTTTCACTCAGCACAGCGTGTGTGCACGTGCCCATGGCTGGACATGGCTGCCATTACCAGCCTGCTACCTTCTCCGCCTCTTCTGGGCTAGCTCTCTGGAACAATCCTCAGTTTCACATTAGTGGTTCTCTGGCTTATTAACAGAATCCTTAAAGCTAATTTAGGGGAAAAAATATATTTTTATGTGTCCACTTATTTTATAAAGTCCAAATTATTACCTTTATTTATCACAAAGCCTCATCATCCTATTGCTGTTATTGCCTGATTGTATCTGTGACAGACTGTGAGACTCCTCACTCTCCACTCCATTCTCTTCTCTCTCTCAGAGAGGAATCCACACTCCTTCTCCAGGCCCCTCATCTTGCCACAGCACCTCCCTGTAGGAGGGTCAACTTGCCTACCAGCTCTAGCCACATGCTCAGTCCGACCAGTGGTGGTTTGTAGGAGGGATGCAAGCCAGGTTTGAGCAGCCATGTCAAGTATCACTGGTTTCATCACCTCTCTCGCTGTTCTCTACCATGAAAATGATGCACCAGATAAGGGCTGCTCCCTTCTGCCCAGGGCCCAGAAGGCAGAGAACATGGAACAGAGCTGAAGTGTTCTGGACAGAGCCACAGCTAACACACAATGTGAACACAGAAACAAGGTGTATTTGTAATAAGCCAATGATGTTTGGCGATTATTTGTTATTACAGTATAACTTAGCAAAAGCTGACCAACAGAATGGCTTACTTCCTACTAGATCATGAAGGCCTTACCAACAAGAAAAGGTTTTAGTCACTGATGTAACCCTGGTATGATACGACATACACAGAGCCCTGGCATATAGTAGGTGTTCAATAAACAGCTGCTGAATGACAAAGACAGAAGGAAGGGAGAAACCCTTCACTCTGCTGCTCTGGACCTCTGTTCCAGTCCCCCAGTGCTTATCAATCTGCCTGTGCAGGGAAGGAAGTGCTGGAGCTCAGCACTCAACACCTTCATCCGGAACCATCCTTCACCTGTGTCTACTCCGAGACCCCTCTGTGAGCTCCACATTCAGTACTCTGCCTCTCAGCCTCCCTGCTCACACCAGCCTATCACTGGAGTACGGACTCTCCGGGTGGACTTGCCATGACTGGGAACTCTGTGGACTGTAGTTCCTGAAACTCCACTTTCTCGGCTGGCCTGCAGCAACCCCTCCCTTGCCCAGCCCTGGTGGCCATCTCTGCAAGCAGCCCAATCACTTCCCTAGCTACAGAAAGGCACCACCAGAGAAAACAGTACTTACCTCTTAACTGCATCAGTGAAAATCCACGTTCAAGGGCATAAATCTGTTTTTTACCTTTCAGGACCATATGTGGCATTTCAATGATGCTTAAAAGGCTACATAATTTCTTTCTTTTTTTTTTCTTTTTTAAGAGACAGGGTCTTGCTCTGTCACCCTGCTAGACTGCAGTGGCATAATCATAGCTCACTGCAGTCTTGAACTCCTGGGCTCAAGCGATTCTCCTGCCTCAGCCTCATGAGTAGCTGGGACTACAGACATGTACCAGCATGCTTATTTTTTTTTTAATATTTTGTAGAGATGGGGGTCTCACTGTATTGCCCAGGCTGGTCTCAAACTCCTGGGCTCAAGCCATCCTCCCACCCCAAGCCTCCCCAAATGCTAGGATTACAGGCAAGAGCCACCATATCTAGCCATAATTCCATTTTGTATAGAGCTCAAAACAGACTATTTAGAGATACATATACATGTGGTAAAAGCTCCTTTAAAAAATGGCGGGAGAGAGGACCACAAAGATAGGGTCACTTTCCCAGGGGAGGCAGCAGGATTGGCCAGACAGGAGCCCCAAGGAAGCGTCACAAACATCAATAGCGTTTTATTTTATAAAGTAAGCATTAGATTCTGAGGCTTTTGTTCTGTTACTAGGCTTGACAACTTCTATAAATAATATATACGTTTTTATGCATCAAAGACTTTATGATAAAATATAAAACAATGTGTATAGGCTTCTATGGATGTGACAACCAAGCTAGAACCGCACCTCCCAGAAAGCTCCGTGAGCAAAACCAGCAAGTGTGGGGAAAGCCCTCCAGGAAGGCTGCAGAGTGTGAAGCTCCGCTCCTGAACCCACTGCCTCCCACAAATGTTCTCCTCCCACAACACTTCTCTAATTCTCACCCTTGAAGTCACCCTCCCATCACTTTCCCTCATCTTCCCTCCTCCGTCTCCCAGGTTCTTTCTAAGGAAGAACAGATACAGAAGCCAAAACCTGATCATCATTTCAGCTTTACACAGAGGAGTCTACGTAAAGACTGCAAATCTCTGCTGTTTAAGCCACCCAGTTCTTATGGCACTTTGTTTCAGTAGCACTAACAAATTAATATACTTTCCATTCCGATTTTTTAAAAAAGAGATAGACTCTAAGAAATGAAGACACTTTGTCTTAGGTTTACAAAGCACAGATCTTTGTGCCAAGATGGCTCAGCTCTACTGGAAAGAAACAAAACAAAAACTCTGAAACAGTAGCCTCGGGATACGAGCAGCTGGACCTAAAGGACTTGACCAAGTTGTATCAGTTGTGACGCATGCCCAGGAAAGAGAAAATATTAAAAATTCAAGCCTTTATATTGATTTTATGATGAAGCAGTCAAATAAATAATGAACTCTAAGTCTCTAAAGGAGAAGAGTTGAGAAACTGGGAAATAAGGACTTTTAAACATTGTGCTAGAATCCATACTCATACAAACACAAAATATTAATATAAATACAAACCTCTGGGGATTCTAAACCCTTGACCTGCTAAAACAGAATGCCTGCCCTAATCACTGCAGACAGAAAAAGAAGCGAGAGCCAATGACTACATGAACGGGCAGATACATTCAAAATGTTGACCTACTTAAAAATAAGTGTGCTAGCAGATTTCCCAACCAATCTTTCCTTCCATTTTGCATAACACGCTAGTACATTGGTGGGAATGAGTAAATGTTTTCCTGCAAATGGCCAGTAAGTCTTTCTCTTCTATGAGTTGTAAAGCACAGCTAACAACCTCTTTCTGGTTCGTTGCTCACACAGGTCTCAGCTGAGTACATTTCTCCACCACACCACACTCTGCTTTGCCTCGCATGCTTTGGGTATTATTTTTAACATTTTATTCAAATTGCTTTCTCCACTGTATTTCATCAACCTATCATCCATTTTTAAGCCAGACTGTTGACAGTTCACAGTTGACAATTTTGTTCACAGTTGATGAATTCTGATTTGTTTTTATTCGTCCAAAATCATGTCACAGTAGAGGGGCGGAAGCAATCCTGAGGCTTTGCCGGCTTTAATAATTGGGCGTGAAGTGAGCGGCTGCCGACTGCACCAGTCGGATGCCACACATGCTGTCCCAGCTGACGGGAGAATAACCACCCGTTTCTGCCCGGGGCTTGAGTGGCTCAGAGGTCATCTGGAGGAAGCTATGCAGAGAATCAAGGGAAGGTCTCATTTAGAACCTTACCGAACATCCATAAGTCTATGTGTTCCTTCTGCATTCAGCATATTCACTGAGCATCTACTATGGACCAGGCCCTGGTCTAGGTGTAAAACCCATGGGACAAAGGCCTGTCTCCATGAAGTTCACATGGCAGGCATTGATGGGAGTCAGGCAATTAAACAAGGGAGAGAAAGAGACGGGGAATAATGTATTGTATGGTGTGATCAGTAAATCTTCTGGAAAGATGACATCTGAGCAGAGAACAGAATAAAGTGAGGTATGCAGCTCTTTGGGGAAGGAGGGTCTGGGAAAAGGGAAGCACAAAGGTCTGGGGTAGAAGATTCTGACTACACTTGAGAAACAGTGAGGAAGGTGGACAGGGATGAGGAGAGTGGGAAGGACCATCTCAGCAGAACCGACGGTCGGCCCGTGTGTGACCTAGGGCACAGTGTCGCATATTCTCTCCCTCCCCCACCCCATGGTACACACAAACACACACACACACACACACAGACACAGACACACACTCTTCTATGAGTTAAGATTACCAAATAAGTCAGAGCCTTAAACTTCTTTAAAACCAAGCTGCTAAAAATATAAAAGAGGAATTTTATACAAAAAATTTTTTTAAAGGCTGGAGTTAGAAAATCACCATTTTGAAACTCCTCATGTAATAACTGTGTCAGGAAAGGACCATTTAATGTTTGCTAGAAGTTTTGTGTGAAAGTTATTTCAGAACAAAACATTCACAGTCTCAAAGTGTCTCCTTACAGAATCTTGTGTTATTATTATACAAAGAAGAAAAGGTACACTTTCAACAAAATAAATGGCAGTCACTCCTTAACAAAGGGGTCCAAGCTAGTCCCACTGCCAGTGAGACAGGCTGACATGTGCCTCCTGATTTGCAATAAAAGGAAGTACACAGTAGCACCTGTGAGGCACTGGTATTAAAAATCTTGAACCCGAGTCTATGCATTAGGAAATAAGCAAATCCAAAATTGAGGACATTTTATAAGATAACAGCCTGAACTCTAAAAACAAACAAAACAGACCTGGGGTGGGTGGATTATCACACTAATCATTCCTAATTAAAATAGATTAAAAATATGAAACAAATGAAATGAGTGAAAGTTCACTGAACCTTGACTAATAATTATTATACAAAACACATTATTATACAAACATATTGGGAAGAATTTCTGTGATGTTAACGTGAACTATATGCTAAGTGATATTACGGAATGTTCTTATAGGTGTAGCAGTATTTACTAAGGTGGTTATATAAGAGAACATCCCTTTTCTTAGGAATGAGGTGTCACAATGCTGCAAATTACCTCTAGTTGAGGGGAAAGTGTGTATGTATATAGAGAAAGCAACAGTACACAAATGTGGCAAAATGCTAACAACTGTCAAATCCTTTTTTTTTTTTTTTTNGCGCCACCATGCCCAGCTAATTTTTTGTATTTTTAGTAGAGACGGGGTTTCACCATGTTGACCAGGATGGTCTCGATCTCTTGACCTCGTGATCCACCCACCTCGGCCTCCCAAAGTGTTGGGATTACAGGCTTGAGCCACCGCGCCCGGCCTGTCATTTTCTACCTTTAGGCTTCGGTTTCCTCATCTGCAAAATTGGGAGGCCCTGATTCTGACAGTTATAAAATTCCTGGAACCAATGGAAAAGAATGTTATTTAGTAAGATGCCGTGTGAGGAATTATGATAAGGTGGAGAAGGTGGAGTGTGTGCAGGGGTGAAGGACAGTGATGCCGGCTGAGGGCTCAGGAAAGAGGCTCCTATTACAAATCTTAGGGCTATAGGACCCCACTCACACTTTTTGGGGCATCATTCCACCTTAGTCCCGGCCCCGCCTCAGCTTCACCTTTCTTCCGCCTCCGCCCCATCCCTTCCTCTCCCTTTCCCTCCCTTCTTTTTCCCTCTCCTCAGACTGAGAAGCGCCACACTTCGTATGGCCGCCACCGTGCTCTGCTTTCCACAGCTCGAGGGCTGAGCACGCTCTCCTCCCGCCACCTCACTCGCGTGTCGGCCCGCCCTCAGCCCCTTCCGATTGGCTTAGTATGTAAGTGACGTAAGGGCTCCATCCACCCGCTAACTTATCCCTGGTTTGCCCCGCCTCCTCCTGGCTTCTGACGCGAGTGGAAACCGAACCTGCCCCGCCGCCGCCTCACGGGAGGAAGGCGTCCAAACCAGGAAGGCGATGGCGATGGCGATGGCGGCGGCGGTGGCGCGCGCGCACGCACGCACGCACGTACGCCAGCGGCCGGCGGGGCAGCAGGCTCGCGCCCGGGCTCGCCCCGCGCCGCGCCAGAGGCTCGCGCACTCAGCAGGTTGGGCTGCGGCGGCGGCGGCGGCAGCAGCTGTGGAAGCTGAGGCGCTGTGCGTGAGAGGTTCCAGACACGTCTGCGGTTCCGGCTCCGCCACCCTCCTCCGCCTCTCTCACCCAGGTCTCGGAGCTGGGCCCTGAAGGAGGGAACGGCCGTAGCCTTGGGAAGCCAGAGCACACCCCTGGCTCCTGCCGACACCGCCCTCCTTCCCTTCCCAGCCGCGGGCCTCGCTCAGTGCTAGGCGACTCTGCGGGGAGGCGGCGGCGGCGGCTGCCAGTCTGTGGAGAGTCCTGCTGCCCTCCAGCCCTGCTCCTCCGCCGGGCCCTGCAGGGGCCGAGAGAGCTCGGCGCCCGCCTTTCCGCTCGCCTTTTTCGTCAGCGGGTTGGAGCAGCGTCGGTCCCGGAGGTCTCTGGGCTGAGGCGGCGGCAGCTCCTCTGGTTCCACCATGTCGGCGGGCGGAGACTTCGGGAATCCGCTGAGGAAATTCAAGCTGGTGTTCCTGGGGGAGCAAAGCGGTGAGTGCGTGGCTCCCCCACCCCTGGCAGCTGGCCGCAGCGTCCCCGCACCGACCCCGGTGCAGCCCTTCCGTCCGCGGAGGCTCCCTGCTCGCCTCGCGCCGCGCTCGTTGCCACCTCAGCCCTACCCGATGTGCCCGCCGGTGCCACCGGCCTTCTGCCTGGATCCGTCCGTCGAGTTTTTACCCTCTTCCCCGGGCTCTTCGATCCTTGACTCGCCGTCTCTGTTCTCCGCAGCCCGGCCATCTCCGGTCGATCTGCCCTCCCTCTCCAGCCCTCACCCCGCCCAGCCTCTTGTCCATCCCTTTCTTCCTCCGGTCTCCGTCGTCTCCCCTACCCCGGCCTTCTTTCTTGAGCCCCACCCTTATTCTTTGCCCTTTTCCCAGTTCCTCGGCTCTGTGAGGCCCACTCAGGGAAGCTCCACTCCTGAGAGCGGGCCCTCTTCAACCTTGGCCAAGGAGGGTGGGATCTGGGCGTTGTTTTCCCCAGAGGCTTGCCCCTGAGAAGTGCTGATGTGGAAGGTGGGAAGGGGGGTGGTCGTAGAATAAAAATATTACATGGTTTTCACCTGAGTCGGAAATCAGTCTGGAGGAAAACATCTGATTTGGAGGCGACTTGAGCATGGGGTAGTTGGGGGTGAAAGGGGTAGCGTCGGGAAGAGATTTTTGCCCCTTAGGTTAAATTGGGCTGTGGCTTGTCGGAAAACCTCATTTTGTTCTCCTGACTTTCATCACTGACAATTTTTTTGGCATTGTTGATTTTACAATCTCTGCCAGATGCTATGTCATGATCATTTTACTTGGAATTTTTCTCATCTCACCTCCCCTTTTTCTTGTTTCAACATGAAGCAGCGTTTGAGTGTCATGGTGGTACAAATGGGAATTACTGGGGAAATGTTAATTATTCATTTCTTCTTGAGTATTTTCCAATGATAGATATGTTGAGGATTCATGAGAGAGAAGGCTTGGAATAACAAACATTTTTTTTTTCTCGGATTTCCTTTGGAAAATGGAGTAGAGTAGGAATAGACTAATCATCTAGTTATCTGAATTAGATTTACATATGATTTGGGCTAAATGATTCTTTTATGCTTAATATTTCTTACTATCTGATGAGTGAAATTGTTATGTCATTTACCTGGTCAGGTTCTGTTATCACTGTACTTTTGTATTAGATACAAGATTCTAATTTTGTGATGGTTATTTCTACGATTACTTCGTGTAGTAATTCCAGTTTTCTGCTGTAGTATGCAAACTTGACACTCTACAATTCAGAGATGATTACCCTCCATTGTTTTTCTCACACTTTTCATGACCATCTTTAAAATTCAGACATTGAGAGATTAGTTCTGAGTCATCAAACATTGAATTCCTACAAGGTGTTTTAGTCACCTAAAACATTAGGTTCTAGAAAACATGAGGTATTTGTTTCGACTGGAAGGCATATAAGTGATATAAATTCATAGATTTTATTACTACTTTGAACTACTTATACTAATTTGTATGCCATGACAGGTTAATACTCTTGAAAAATTGCCTCCAGTTAGAACCAGGAAATAATTTTTCTTTTTTCATATGTAGATTATCCCCCCCTCCTCCCTTTTGGGAAAAAAATCCAATCTCCCTCCGTTTTGCTTATATATTTTCCTGAAGTAAGTATAAACTTGTGTCTTTAGGTGAGTAACTTGGTATAACCTATGGAGTTGATTGTGGTCCAGCTATTATATGTCACCTTCAGGATAGTTCTCAAAGATAAACTGTAGTTTATTAGTCATTATTGAGAAAAAGGATCCAAAGTGTTTATTGTACATTCTAGGGATATTATTGCCTTCCTTATGTTGTCATGCACAGCTATTTAGTTTACATGAAAAACCCATTAATCTCCCTGTCTAAAAATATTTTAGCATGAATGTAGAGCTTAATTTCCTATCTTCAGGTTTCCTTTGAATTTTTTATTTGTATATGTTCTAATTCTTTTTTTTTTTTTTTTTTTGAAACTGAGTTTCACTCTTTTTGCCCAGACTGGAGTACAGTGATGTGATCTTGGCTCACTGCAACCTCTGCCTCCTTGGTTCAGGCAATTCTCATGCCTCAGCCTCCCAAGTAGCTGGGATTACAGCCGCCTGCCACCACGCCCGGCTAATTTTTGTATTTTTAGTAGAGATGGGATTTCACCATGTTGGCCAGGCTGGTCTTGAACTCCTGACCTCAATGGATCTGCCTGCCTCGGCCTCCCAAAGTGTTGGGATTAGAGGTGTGAGCCACTGCAACAACTGTCAAATCTTAAGTATGGGTATACAGTATTCAGTGCATTATTCTTTAAATGCTCTGTACATTGAATAATTATTAAACTAATAGCCAGGGAAATAAAATTTAACTTGCTTTGCCCTGTGGTGCTCAGAAAACCCTTCCCAGAAACCACTCCTCTTTTCCCTCCCTAAACTCCTCACTCCCCAGTGGCCTGCCACTCCCAGCTGTTGTAATTACTGTCCCTCCTGCAGCTGCTCCCTAGAGGGTGGCTCCCAGGGAAGGGACTGGCTTACACCTGGTAAAGAGCCGACCTTCAGTAAGGATCTGTTCACAGGACGAGTGACTGAGGTTTTCCCGGAGCACAAAATGCTCTAAATTGATATCAGCAATTAGCTTTGCTCATTTTCTCACCTTGTTTATCTTGTCAGTGATTTAGCAAACCCTTTTCCAGTGAGCGAGGAGGTTTCAGTCCAGTTCATGTACAGATTGTCACAGGCTTGGTTTTAGAGGCAAGGCTGAATAAAGGTTCTCCAAACTGTGTAACAAAACCAGTGGAGAGTCTTGCCGTCTTCCAGGCAATGCATCCCAGGTTGACCTGCACCTTGACGAAGAGCACAGCCCTGCTCTGCACGCTCAGGCCAACCCCCCCGCAGGCTCCTGGCCCCTGCTTTAAGCTCCCCAACTGTACACAAGGGGAGCTGCCTGGGCTCACCTTCACTGTTCTCACTTCTGAGCCTTTTCCCTGTTATCTCCTCTACCTGGGATTTTCTGAGGACTGGACACTATTCCGACTTTTAAAATTTCTGTAGGATTTTTTACTCATCTGGGATTTTAGAGAACAGTGCAGATAAGGAAGGACTTGGAGTTCCTGAGCCCGTCATCCTCTCAAGGAGATGGCCGATCCCCTGGGACAGCCTGGTGTCCTTCAGAGAGGGGGGACCATGCACAGCCTCGCCAGGCAAGGCCTGGATGCAGCAGAGAGCCCAGATCCAAGCGGCTCTCAGTGAAGGCACACATTCGAGGGCCAGCTGCGGCCCTCCCCTCTTCCATGCCGGCCTCTAGTGTTTTCACTGGAGGAAAGCTTCTTTGAGGCTCCTGCCTCCATGCCCCGGGACAATTCTCCCATTGCACTCACCACACTGGACAGTGCTTATCTGTTTACATATCTACTTCTTGAAGGAAATAGGTGTCTTTGACTAGATCCTAGCATATCACAAGTACAGATGCTCCTAAGTTACTGTGGGATTACACCTCAATAAACCCATCTTAAGGTGAAAATACCAGAAATCGGATGTGCATTTAATACGTCTAACTTACCAAACATCATAGCTTAGCCTAGCCTACCTTCAATGTACTCAGAACACACATTAGCCTACACTGGGGCAAAATTATCTAACATAAAGCCTACTTAATAATGAAAGGGAGAATGTCTCATGTAATTTATTGAATACTGCACTGAAAGTGAAAAACAGAATGGTTGACGGGGAGCCAAAGCAGAGTTTCTACCGAGTTCGTATCCCCACTGCACCACCCTAAAGTCATAAGGTCTTCAGCTGAGCCATTGTAAGTCAGGGACCATCTGTGTTTAATACAGTTTTTGTTTATTTATGGGATACACCTTATATAACCCTATGTGAGAGCAGGTATTAATATATTTGTTCTGTAGATTAAGAAACTGAAACTAGAGAAAGCAAATGACTGCCTCAGGGACACAAGGCTTGTAAGTGGCAGATTTAATTTTTAATCCAACGCCTTCTCTTCTGCCTAGTCCAGTGCTATGTATAATGACTCACAGACTTCTACAACAATGAGGGGTTTGGCAAAGCCTTTACAAGCAACCTAAGGGGACAGAGAGGAGAGGGAAATTATGCCCAGAGCTAGAGAAAGGGAGAGAGGATGGGAGGTGCCCTGCTGGAGGCTGTGTGGTGCTGACCTGCAGGGAAGGAATAGAGCCGGCCAAATGGAAGCCTTGCTTGTCAACTGTGACTTGTCACTAGTGATCGTGATGTTATTCAATGCCACTGCAACATGTTGCAATTAGCTGAGCCAACTTACAGAAGTGAAGCTGATCAGGTCGTGTGGCTACCTTCTGTGTTCCAGAAGCTGACAGCACCCAGACTTAGCCTCTCCTGGAGGCGGAAGAGCTTGCAGCTATTCCTTGCTAACAGATTAACTATCAAGTTGATCATCAGAGCTCTCCCGAGCAGTCCAGAGTGGCCCAGCCAGGGCCCCGGAAGACAGTTCTGTTCACAGGATCAAGCCTGTGAACTTGACTCCTACCTGATGCAAGCTCCTTCAAAGAGCTGTTCATGCTCATACACCCCAGGGCCACGTACAAGCTGTGCCTCAAAAGTGAACAGGAAGAGTTGCTGAAATTAATTCATCATCTTCCCAGAAACTCTAGAAAGTTAGGGACTATCACTTCCATCTTACAGACGAGAAGCAATAGAGTAAGAGAGGAAGAGACACGAATAAGAATGAAAGGAGAGAGCAAGAGAAAAAAGCTGTCAAGGAGGCATGGCAGAGGGGCGGAGGGAAGAAAAGGGAGAAGAAATACAAGGAAGAGAGCAAAGGAGATGTTTCAAGTATAGAAAAAAGCATAAAACATCCCAGAGAGACTGGGGAGGTGCAAGAGGCAGTGTGGGAGCAGAGGCCTTGTTCACACGTCTCTCGCCATCCTGGATATGTGGGCTCAGGCAGCGCTAGGAGAGAAGAGGATGTTCTGAGGGGCTAGCACCTGCTTAAAATTGTCTCTGCTGCTATAAATGTCCTTGAGATCCCTGTCTCTGCAGCTGTCCTGGTTTCCTTGGAGGGGACCCAGCACACAGTAAGCCTACCCTCCATGCTGCCTGTTCCCCACTGGCTGGGGCAGTTGACTCCACAGTCAGAATTCACCAGAGGTGGGGGCAAGTTGAGGTGGCACCCAATTCTATCTTGACTCATGCCTCTCCAGCTGTGATGGTGGGTAGAAAGCTCTCTGCTCAGGACCTCTCATTGCAAACCTAGTAGGGAATTTGACACACAGGGTGCCACTGCTTACTGGGGTTAAACGCAGTCAACTTTACATCACCTGTCCAAATCCTCATTTCCTTCTCACTAAAGATAAGCCCTACTTCCTGCAGCCATCCAGGGAGAAGAAAGGATAACTAGTGATCTCTAGATCTCCAGTGCCTGGCAGCATTCCTGGCACATGGTAGACAATGAATCGTTGCTACTTCCTCTATCCCCCAAACCCCATATTCATTCCTTTCTTCCTCCAATAGCTTCTCCACAATG